CTTCCTTCCTTCCTTCCTTCCTTCCTTCCTTCCTTCCTTCCTTCCTTCCTTCCTTCCTTCCTTCACCTAGGCATGAGGTGAGGGGAGGAGGGGCATCTGGAGTTTAAATAGTTAATCTGTTTTGTTGGGTGAGGTCTCTCTTCTGGTCTCCCACCTCTGCCCTGCCATCTGGTCAGTGCTTCAGTTGTCCTAACATCCCACCTCGTCTTTGTGCTATGGATTGTGCTGTAAAATTAGTGTTCTGGTGCGAAGGCTGGCCTGGGCCCAGCAGACTCATGCTCTGGGACTCAATGAGTCTGGCAGGCAGAGGGTGGCCTCAAATTGTGTGTGCCTGGTTGCTCAGTTGTAAACATAGACAAAACCACTACTGCTGCCCCCACCACTGCTTTCCTGCCGATAAGGGGACCTGCTTACAAGCCCTGTGTATTCATTTGGTAATTTCCAAGGGATTGGAGATTGTTCTATCCAATCCTTTTCTCTGCTGTGGAGCCTCCATGGTCCAGTCTGGCCTGTCTTTTCTGGTGACTCTGATTTCCTACTTTCTGGAGAGAGTTCAGACGGCAGATGTGCCCAGACAGGACACAGAATTCCCAGTGTCCCAGCTCTGATCCACAGCTGCGCATGACTGCAGTTCACTTCTGAAAACTAATTTCAGAGAGATGCACAGTGCTGCATGGTGCATGGATAGCTGACGGCCAGCCTGTTCTGTCAGCTCAGGTATCTACTTGTCCTGCCATCTTTCCCTCAGTCTTTTCCTGCCTTCCCCTGCCACAAGACTCTGACCACCAATGCAGTCCCTGTGGGAAAGTCCTGGGCTCTGACAAAGAATTTCTAAATCTCCCTTTGAGCAAATATTTGTTATAGGAATTTTTTTTTTCTTTTTAGGGTAGAAATGTAAGCTAACCTCTATTCTGTTCTAATGTGCATGGACTGTCCCGATCTAATATGCTTATGGAGGCTTGTTTATGCCCCAATCTATTACCTGTCCTTGAGGACTTCCTGCATGTACTTGGTAAGAATACTGATTCCTTTTAGGATGATTGGTTCTATGTGTTCAACAAAGAACTGTTTACCAAATTTGTTTATTCTGCTCTATCATGGAAGGTCATTAGTTCCTTGATCTTTATGATGTAGTCTCCATTTGATGTAAGTGGGTTGTTTAAGGTATTTCACTCAATGTCCCCCTTTCAGTCTGTCAATAATTGTTTTATGTGTTAGGTACACACATGTTCACGATAGTTATATCTTCTTATGTGATTGACTGCCTTCACCACTATAGTGTTTTTATGCTTAAAGTCTAATTTACCAGACATGAGTATTGTTCTTTTCTGTTTCTAGTATTAGTTTGCTATTTGTTTCACTGAGTTTATCTTTAGAACTGTGGTAGGCTTATTATAAACAAATTATAGTACAGTCCTGTTTTTTACCTGATCAAGCATCTTTGTACCTTTCATTACTGAATTCAGTCCATGTATTTTTAGGGTGATTATTGATATATACAGGATTTATTACTGCCATTTTATATTCTTTGCATTTGTTTCTTTCTTCATCTATTTTATTTGGGTGTTTTCATGTTTATTCTGTTCCTTCATCTTCCTGCTATTTGACCTTTTCTGTATTTTTGTTTAGAAGTTACCATGGGGGTTGTATCCACCTTCACCTGTAGGTATTGTTTTATTTCTCAGTGTGTTAATATTGACTTATTATCTTTAGCTTGTACAGATTCTGTTCTTTTCTTTCTCCCCTTTCATGCTTTCTCTTATCTCATAGTACTCCTGTTTATGCTTATGAGTTTGCCTATTTACAGTCTTATACATAAAACCTTGAATATTGTATTCTGATGTTAAATTCTTTCAACATTACTTGTGCTGAACTTCATTATCATAGATTTTCTTCATGTTATGAAATCTTAATTTTCTCTTTTCATGAGTCATTATTATATTTCTACTTACATTTCACTCACTTTCCCCTGCACTATCAAGCCTGCTTGTTATGCTTTCCGTAGCAACCTCATTTAATTCATTATATTATTCATACCCAACCTACTTGGAAAAATTTGTGTAGCTCATTCTGCTCCTACTTACTTAAACCATTGCTGTTTCATTCAGAATCAGAATAAATTTTATAAATTTTGTTAGTTTTCTTTAATTGCCATTTTGAATTCACTGTCTAGAAGATCCTGCCTCTCAATTCTGTCTTTAAGTTTGATTTCTTAAGCATTATCATTCTGCTATAACTCTTGAATTTCTTGAATATATGCATGTGTTCCTTTGATTTTCCAGTAATTAATGTTATGGTTTTAGCTTTGGAATCCTGTTTTATAGAGCCTGGGCAGAGAGAAAGTGTGATAACCCTTTCCGCTCAAAACCCTCTAGGTTGAGAGAAGGCCAAAGTAGACCGAAATCTCCATAAAGTCCCATGCTGTCACTCTTCCTTTGTGAACAGACACTTCCTAAACTGAACACAAAGTGGTCCTCTTGTTTCCTGAATCTAGCAGTAGCCATAGATAGCTCTTTTCAATCTGTCAAGGTTTAGTTCTGAGATTCTGGAGGGTTGGCCAGAATGCTGCTCCTGTGACACGCACAGGAACTCAAGGTCTGGGCCCAACACCAGCAGGTACTGCTCATATTCACATCTACTGTGTAGTTGCTAGAGTCCTGGTGTGGGTGGGTCCACCATGTTTTTCCCCCAACAGGTGCAGGCCCAGCTATATAGTAGCACCTCTGAATCCCGCTCCCCTTAGAAAGTGTGTGTGAAGAATTATAGATGACTTCTGGTTGTACTTTAAGGGGACGTTTCTCTATAGCTGTTTACTTGATCACATCTGTCACACCCACCTAATATTCTTCAATAAAATTGTCTTAGGACAAATTAGTTATGTGGTGAAAATGCATGCAGTAGAGAAGTTATGGTAAGTCTACCTACCACAAAAGTGGAGAGAATTTATAATATGTACACAGGACCAAACAGGCAATAAAGAATAAAGGCATGACTATAATTTTATCCAATGGCACTATGGTTTTAAAAGAAAAAAATAGTAGCTACTATTTTTTCTATTAATACTGAGACTGAAGAAATAGCTACTAGAGTTGTTCTATTATTCATTGCAATCATTGTATCAACATTTTTACCATCCCTAGGTTATTACATATTGAAATGCTTACAAAGTCTATGTATTAAATGAGCTTTACATATTCCTTAAATGTATTATTCCATATAATTGGGGTTGATTCTCTTTCACAGTGTGTATAATAGGAAAAAAAAAAACTTACCTCAAATTTTCAACACTGTCAATGATTTCAGCAACCAACCTCCAAACAGCAAGGCAAGGAAGTTTTATGAAAACTTTATGTCAAAGCATAGGGCACTTCAGAAGTAAATAAACGTAGAATGGCCAGTATCTCAATCTCTTGAGCACTTTATTTGTTATAAATACAAGTCACCACAAGATGGCACCTTCTTACTTTCAACATCTACAGTTATAAACAATTATCTTCATAAAATGGTTTCAACGTTTTAATGTGTTGACTCAGATATTGAAACCTTATAAAAGCAAGACTTGCTACAAACAGGATCGGTGTTTGATGCATATTAAATGAGGTCAGATAATAACTTCAAAAAAAGAATTTATAAATATCCAGATAAGAAAATTGAAATTACAAAAGCAGAGTTTGTCATCATTAAACTGAATCACAACTGTATGTGGTTAATGCTATATCTACATGACTTAAGTATGTGTTAAAATACAGTTTCAGTAACCAAATAATCTACCTCATTCAACATAACCACCTATTTCATTTGTACATTCTTACATTCCATACACATTCCATTCAGAAACCATGTAGCTTTCATCTAGTCAGTTACACACACTCCATTTCATTTTCAATAGATGCAACCTGTGAAGTGCCATCATCCCAGACTACAAAACAAAATACAATCTTTAAAGGTAAAAACTCAGAGAATTTCTGAAATGGTTACCTATCCTCTCTGTGTTCATGAAAATAGGCAATCCAATTTGAAAGTCTTTGAACTAATGTAAACTCTAGAAAACTCAGTGTTGAAGTATGGGAGGGATAGACTTGCACTAATATAGTGCGTAACAATGCAGTGTCAGACTCATCATTGACAGTAAATGCCTTGGTTCGACTTTCCTCTGGATTGTCATCATGCTGCTGAAGAGTTTCCTCAAGTCTGTGGGAATTCCATCATGTTTTCTTCTTGTTTCCAAACAGGAAGAGAAGGGTTTCAGATCCTTTGGGAAAATCTAAAAACTTAAACTCACACCCACAAACAATTTGAAAGCAAAATGGCAGATCTACTAATCTTTGACTCCATGTCCAAATGAAGTTGAGGCAATATTACTTTTGCAATATTTGTATTCTGCCCAACATGTCACATTGTGAGATTCCTCAAAAAACTGAGAAGTCTGAGAGCTACAAAAGAGAAGCGGTTAAGGCAGTTGATGTCTACATTTGGATTTCTTTTCAGGTTACATGTCTAAGTCTCCATCGTAGGCTAAGGTCAGAGGCTTTTGTTGGGGAGGTGTGCTTTGATGTGGTTTTGGCTTCTTGCTGCAAAAGAAAAAGAATTCCTCAGATAATGTTGACAGAGCTATTTTATCTGCCAAAGACAATTGTGAAACCTAGAAATCCAAGCAGTTAAATGACAAACTGTTTTTGAAGTCAGATTATAAAATTGATATGTATGGACAACAGTTGTTTGTACCTTGTGTCAGATTAATGGTATGTATATAAGGGAATGCACTGAAGAGGTTAAAAGGCTGGGTCTCTGTGTTAGACCTGCTTAGCATCCAGGCTCTTCTATTTAGTGACTTTGGGGAGGTATATCTGGATTTGGTTCTTCTTTTTTTTTAATGTGTATGCTAAACTTACTTTAAGGAGAAGCATCATTTTTCCAAAATGACTTACTTGAACAATTACCACGGTATAAGGCTATATTTGTAGGAAGTATGTGAGCACCTGCTTTTCACTAATTCCTGAGATACTGTGTCTTCCATATTACAGCTATTTAACATTAGCAATAGAGATACTAAGCTCTAGTGACTTTTGCTGGTCTTGATTTTAAATAAAATATGCTTTGGCCTAAAATCTGACATTTAGGGGTCAAGTTACCACAGTCTGCTAGGAAAATTTCACTAATTTTTGTACCATACAAACTTTTTATCACCTGGTTTATCTAATATCTATACTTTGCCAGGTCAGGGATAACTAATACTCATCATCAGACAGAGCGAGGGGTGGGAGACAGAGGACGAAGGAGGAACATAGACAGGCCAGGGACAGAATAGAGGAAGAAAGACAGAAGAGACAAAGAAAAATGGGAACAGATGGGTAAGTAGAGAGGGAAACAGAGACACAGAGAGGAAGGGAGAAAGACACTGAGGAATGGAGAGATGCAGGGACAGAGGGGAAAGAGAAAAAGACAGGGACACACACAGAAAGGGATAGAGGTAGTCACAGGGAGACAGGGAAAGAGAGGTACACAGAGGAACATCAAGAGACAAAGATGGAGACGACACAGATGGGGGCAGAGAGAGACAAGAAAGACAGGGAAGGACAGTGAGGCACAGAAACAGATAAGGCGGGATGGAGAGAGACAGGGACAGAAGAGCAGGCCATCAATGGAGAGAGAGATAGAGACACAGAACAGTGATGAAGAGAGAAAGGAATAGAGAGAGGAGGATGGTGACAGAAGAAATGAGACAGAAAGAGAGGGAGAAAGAAGTGGGATCACGGTGAAATGGGAGCAGGGCAGAAATACAGGGGAGGGGCAGGACAGAGGCTCACAGACAGGGATGGTGAAACAGTGGGGGTGACATAGACAAGCCGATGTGGTGCCCTGATCTGGGGCAAAATGTCTCCTTTTTTATTCTTTTATTCTTTTATTCTTTACATGGAGTGACTCTCAATACATGTTGAGTGCTTGAATTTTACCCTCCCCCCACACACTCTTTCCCTACTTCTACCCTCAGAGTCCAGTTTGTAATCTCACTGGCCAGGGCCTGTCTCCGTGGTCGCAGCTTCCTGGACTAATTTCACAGAAACACCTGTTACTTGTCAGATGCACACACGTGGCCAATCCTGCATGGACCATGGTACAAAACCCAAGTCAGTAAACCACAGGGCAGCCTGAGAAGGAGGAAGGATCATTGCTGCTTAGAGACGAGCTTCCCTGACCTACCTGGAACCACTGAGTGGCAGATCCAGGCCCAGTAGGTCCCCTGCGGACCCAGTGTGTTCTCCCCAGAGACAGGCCGTTCACTGGCACAAGGTAAACAAAACTGTTGTCGACTCGAATGACTTGACTTTTAAACTCTGAATTTAAAAGCATTTTGATGTGTATGATTCGGTGTCATGTGGTCAATATTTACATATACCCATCATCTCACTCCAGTTTCAGTATATTTTCATCAATCCAAAGGAAGTTCTGTCAGCAGTAAGCAGTTTTACATTCCCTGCTGAAGCCCTCCGCCACCCCCTCCGGCAATGATTTACCTAATATGTGTATTTCAGATAAAAGGAATCACACTCCATGTGGTCTTTTGTTTCTGGTTGCTTGCACTTAATGGTTAAAATGAAGAATGTTATGTTTTGAGAATTTTATTATATGAAAAAACTGTTTAAGTGTCTAGTGGAATCTCCAGCTATGAAATGTTTAGGTTATAATTCCTGGGTAATAAACCTATTGTTTAAATTTGATGTTCATTATAAATTAGAGAAGCTAGAAAGGAATCACAAATACTTGTTAAAAAAGAAAGTCCAGACCCCATCAATCTCCCAACCCCACAATCCTGCACGTCCTGGGTGCTCAATGCTAGCACAGGCTGGGGTTCCCCAGCCTCCCACCGAGGCAGAGGACCCGCAGACACTGCAGCGAGCCCTTGGCTTTGAATTCTTCCCACTTCTTAGTTGAACTTCATCTGTGTTAACTGAGACTCTCTCTCCATGTACATCTAGAAATAGTTTTAGACAGTGGCTCCAGTTAGACTGCTGGGGCCCAGCTGTAGCTCCAAGAATGGACCCAGCTTGAAATAGGTTCTAAACAAGCTGATCTGCAGAATTTAAAGTAAGTGACATTGTATGGTCCCTCTCTCTCTCCTCTCCTTTCCTCTTCTCCTTCACCTCTCTCTCCTGTCTTTTTTCATCTGTCATTCTCTCTCTGTCCCTCTCCTGTTTCTTTCATCTGCTATCTCAGTCGCTCTCTGTCCATTCCCTATCTCTCCCTCACTCCTGTCTTTTTAATCCCTATGGGTCTGTCTTTCTCTCAACACCTCTCTCTCCTCTGTCGTTCTCACTTCTCAGTCTCCTGTTTACCTCAACCTCCCTTTCCTCTTTCTCTCTTGCTTATCACTCCCTCACTGCCCCCCTTCCTCCCATCTTTTTTCCCTCTCTCTCCCCATCTCTCTCCGGTCTGTCTCTCACTTCTAACTCTCCTGTCTATTTCAACCTCTCTCTCTTCCTCTGTCCTGTCTGTTTTTCTCTCCCTCTCCTGTCTCCACCTGTCTGTCTCCTCTCTCTAGCTGTCTTTCTCCTGTCTATCTCACTCTCATGACACTCTCCCCTGTCTCTCTCTCTCTCTTATTCTCACTCTTGTGACTCCTGTATCTCTCTCTCCCCACAATCTGTCTCTTGCTCATGTCTCTCTCTCATGTCTTTCTCCCTCTCTCCCCATATCTGTGTCTCTCACCCTCAGCTGTATCTCTCCTGTCCCTCTCTTGATCCTGTCTCTCTATTCTATCTCTTTACTCCCTCTCATCCTGTGTCTTTCTTTCTCTCTCTCACTACCCTGTCTCTCTAAACTCCTGCCTCTCACTCTTTCCCTTTCCTCTCTCTCCCCAGCTCCAGTCTCTCCCTCCATCTCTTTCTCATGTCTGTCTCTCTCTACCCATTTTCTCCATCTCTGACACCCTCTACTGTATCATCCTCTCACCTCTACCCCTCTCCTCTCTCCCTCTACCTAAATCTGTCTTCTATCCCCCTTCCTATATTTCTCTCTTGTCTCTGTATCTCACTCTCTCCTGTCTTTCTTTCCTCCCATCTCTCTCTCTCGCTTTCTACTGTCTTTCTCCTGTCTCTCTCATTCCATCTCTCCCTTCTTTCCCCCCATGTGTCTCTTTCCTGTATCTCTCTCTCAAGTTGGCCTGTCTCTCTCATATCTCCCTCTTTGGTATATCTGTCTCCTCTCTCAGCTTCTCTCTCTCTGTGTCTGGTCTCTGTGCCTATCTCCTGACTCAACTCTCACAACTCTCTACATCTCTCCTCTTTCTCCTATCTCTTTTTCTCTCATTCACCTGTATCTCACCCCTACTCAGTCTATCCCTCTCTCCTCTCACTCCTTTTTCTCTCCTCCCTCAACTCAGCCTGTCTCTCTCTCCAGTCTCTCTGCATCTTGCTCCACTTCCTATCTCTCCAATGTCTCTTCTTTCTCCTCATTCCATGTCTGTTTCTCCTGTCCTCGCCATGTCTCTTACTATCTCTGTAAACACTCCTGCCTTTCTCCCATCTTTTTGTGCCACTTTCCAAACTCTCCTGTCTCCCTACCACTCTCCTCATCTCTTGCCTATATCTCACTATTTATCTCTGTAAACTGTTTCTCTCCTGTCTCTATCTCCTGTCACTCTCTGCATCTCTCTACTATCTCTGTGTGTGTCTCTCTCTCCGACTCTCCCCGTCTTTGTGTGTCTCTTGCTGTCTGTCTCTCCAGTTTCTCTCTCCACCTCTTTCTGTATCTCCACCACCTATCTCTCTCTCCATCTCTCTCCAATCCCTCCATCTCTCCTGTCGTTCTCCATGTCTCTCTCCTGCATCTTTCTGGTATCTATCTCTCTGTGTCTCTCCAATCTCCCTATCTCTCTCACGAGAGCCATCTTTTCTGTCTCTCTGCATCTCTCTCCATCGCTCCTATATGTCCTGTCTCCATTACCTGTCTCTCTCTCCATCTCTCTGCTGTCTCCCGATGTCTGTCTCTCCTGCCTCTTTTCATCTCACTCCAACTCCATCTCTGTGTATCTCTGTCTCTACCCATCTCTCCCTCCATCTTTTTCTGCCACTCTCTCCATTTCACTCCTCTGTCTTTCCATGTCATTCCTGCCTCTTATCTCCCCCTCCATCTCTCTCACCTGCTGCTCTGTGTCTCTGCAGTCTCTCCTGTCTTTCCTCCATCTCCCTCAGCGTCTCTTTCCAATCTCTCCTTTTTATCCATCACTGTTTTTCATCTCCTGTCACTCTCTCCATATCTCCTCTATCTCCTGTCTCTCTTTCGATCGCTCTCATCTCTGTGTCTCTATCTCTCCATCTCACTCCTCTCCCTCCTGTCTTTCTCCATCTCTCCTCTGTTGCTCCATTGCTCTCCTTTCTCTCCATCATTTCTCTCTCTCTCCACCTCTCCTATGTCTGTCCATATCTCTGTCTCTCCATCTCTCTCCACCTCCTGTCTCATTCTCAATCTCTGTGCTATCTCTCTCTATCCCTCCATCTCATTTTGGCCACTCTCTCCATCTCTCCTGTCTCTCTCTGCATCTGTCTCCTGTTTCTCCTTCCATTTCTCTGGT